CCCCGAAATGTCAATATTTAAGGAGTTAGAAACTGCAATCAAAACGATGCTAAAAACCCCGAAATGTCAATATTTAAGGAGTTATGAGCGTTTTAAAATAGGCTATTTTTCCTCTTTAAAAATCGTCAATCAAAACGATGCTAAAAACCCCGAAATGTCAATATTTAAGGAGTTATGAGCGTTTTAAAATAGGCTATTTTTCCTCTTTAAAAATCGTCAATCAAAACGATGCCAAAAACCCCGAAATGTCAATATTTAAGGAGTTATGAGCGTTTTAAAATAGGCTATTTTTCCTCTTTAAAAATCGTCAATCAAAACGATGCTAAAAACCCCGAAATGTCAATATTTAAGGAGTTATGAGCGTTTTAAAATAGGCTATTTTTCCTCTTTAAAAATCGTCAATCAAAACGATGCTAAAAACCCCGAAATGTCAATATTTAAGTTTTAAATAGGCTATTTTTCCTCCTTAAAAATCGTCAATCAAAACGATGCTAAAAACCCCGAAATGTCAATATTTAAGGAGTTATGAGCGTTTTAAAATAGGCTATTTTTCCTCTTTAAAAATCGTCAATCAAAACGATGCTAAAAACCCCGAAATGTCAATATTTAAGTTTTAAATAGGCTATTTTTCCTCCTTAAAAATCGTCAATCAAAACGATGCTAAAAACCCCGAAATGTCAATATTTAAGGAGTTATGAGCGTTTTAAAATAGACTATTTTTCCTCTTTAAGAAACTGCAATCAAAACGATGCTAAAACCCCGAAATGTCAATATTTAAGGAGTTATGAGCGTTTTAAAATAGGCTATTTTTCCTCTTTAAAAATCGTCAATCAAAACGATGCTAAAAACCCCGAAATGTCAATATTTAAGGAGTTATGAGCGTTTTAAAATAGGCTATTTTTCCTCTTTGAGAAACTGTTATCAAAAGGATGCTAAAATCCTCGAAATGTCAATATTAAAGGAGTTATGCAATTTTCTGCTATGACATTAAGGTCAATTTTGACTGAAAATTCGGGATGACAATCTTCTCGTTATTGTCGATCATTACACAAGTCCTAGCAAAATGATACTTTGAAGCCAAATTCAATCATTCCATAATAAAGGTGCGAGTACATAAAAAGCTTGAAGTGATGGCTAGGCACATTAATGTCAAATCATAATGAAAATCATACACGCTATGATTATAACTATTATTTAAAGTTCAAAGGACTAAATATGCCGAAGCATTTGTATCTTTTAAATTCGGACTTTTATTGCCCATTTGATGCACAATTAATTTGAAATCGGATAAAGATATATATGGGAGCTATATCCAAATTGGAACCGATCTCGATAAAATTTGGCAAAGGTATTTCTGAGTATATATGGGAGCTATAGCTATATCTGAACCGATCTTCACCAAATTTGACACACTAGCTTCTAGACTCAATTCGGTCGTAAGTGCCAAAATTTAGACAAATATTAGACATTTGGTGCACAATAAAAGGTAAATCGGGCGAAGTTATATATGGGAGTTATATCCAAATCTGAACCGATCTCGATAAAATAAAGCAAATGTATTTTTGAGCTCTATTTGATATATTTCCCCAAATATTGTTGTTTAAGAGTGCATATTACAGCTGCGGAGGACAAAAATAACAAATCGGATGAACAATATGTATGGGAGCTATAGCTATATCTGAACCGATTTCGTTCAAATTTGGCATATTTATTTTCAGGCCTCAATAGGGTTCGTCCTTGGGCCAAACAAATGATTTGTGCAAAATTTCATCTGGATAGGGCAATAAATGCGGACTGTACTTTGTTTACAAAAATACATCGACAGACGGACAGACAGACAGACAGACCGACAGACGGACGGACGGACATGCATATATCGACTCAGAATGTGATTCTATGCAGATCATCAAAAGGAACTATGGGTCTATCTCGTTTCCTTTTGCCTGTTACAAACAAATGCACAAAGACAATACCCTGACCACCTTGTTGTGTAGGGTATAAAGACGGCAGGATTTTAGTGCGGTTCTCTAATCCCTTTATGAAATGTCACAAAATATGCCTAGCCATGACACCAACCTTCTTTTGTACTTACACCTTAAGCCTTACGTGACTTATGAGGTTAATATTTTAGGTATTTTCTTCTGCCATGACTTTTTTTATACCCTCTAACAAAATTGACAAAATATTTGGTCGGAAATAAATTTAAATTTCTAACCAACTGTACGCTGACACTTAATTAATTAACTAGTTAATTTTAAAATACACATTTTTCTACTTTTAACATCAAAAAGGTACGTTGACACAACATCTATATATATAAATGTAAGTTGTGTTAGTTACTACGCTTATAACTTAAGAACCGCTGGATTAATTTTAACGATTCACACAAATTCGGAGTTGTCTACTCTCCGAAAAGGATAATATCCAAAAAAATCGCGTAAAAATGTGATATATTAACATTTTCATTTTGACTTTTCAAATGTACAATAGTAATGTTTTATTTTGCATGATTTTTTTCCATTTTGACTTACTTTTTTCTAATGTACATTTGTAGTGTTTTTTATATTTTATTTTTGAATTCGAATATTTATACCAATTTATTTAATTGACTTGATTTCTTGAGAACTGAAATTGATGGCGGGTTACATGGAAGTGTAGTAGCGAATTATGTGGTGGCGAAACGGAATAGATGATATCGAAATAATTTAACGCGGTCACACCAAAGTTAAAAGGTAAATACCTTTTTTAAATCGCTGAAAAATCATGAAAAAGAGATCTCATTGCAAAAATCAAAAAAACATTTTCAATGGAATCGAATTTTAAAGTAATAGTACATTCTATTGACAAACTTTGTAAGGAAGGATCTTAAAACATTTGCTGTAAAAAATCAGCGAAAAAGTTGAAGACTTTTTCAATTTGTTATTCTTTTTTTGTCAATTTTTTTTTCAATTTGTATTATCATATTGAATTCAGTGGATTTTTTGTGAACAAAATAAAGAATAATTTTTCACTAAAAAAATTAAATAAGTGCGAAATAGGATGTTAACTGACATCTACCTTTCAACTCCAGGGCCTACATCGTGGGTTAGCTGGAAGATGCGAACACATTTAAACAAACAAAAATGACCGAAAAAGCTTAATGGGGCTCATTTCAAAGCGTGACAATGATCCGTCCAATGAGAGCTCAAAATGCAAAATTCTTTGGGAGAATAATAAGTAATATACCAATATTGAAATAAAAGGTGCAAAATAGTAGAGCGAATGGGACTTTTAGTAAGAAAAGGTTTTATATCCTTCCAGAAATTCTTCCCAAACATTCAAAATACCTAAAATCACTTTTGCAGGTCTTTATATCGATCATAACTCATGGATAAGGGAACAACCCGATTTCATATTTATATAACCATCTATGATTTAAGTTATTTTTGGGGTCTTGGCCGGCCACTTTTTTCATTTTTTGGCCCTTATTTGACATTTTGTTTCTAAGGGGGTAGATAACCTCTTCGCATAAAATTTGAAATTTTCAGAGTAGGGCCCATATTGGTATTGACCAAATTCATCAATTGATTTGGCTAAAAAATTTTATTTATGCCACCCTGGGGTAGGGAACCATCATACAGATAATTGCCACATAGGAATTTATTTAAGTAAAGTCCCCACATTGGAGTATCCCCAAGTCCACTTTCACATCTAATGTGTGGTCAGAAAAGAAAATTTTGTATTCTATTGAATTTTTAACCCCCAAGAGAATATTGGTTGGGAACGTAGATTTGGGATGTGCATCCATATGAAATAAATTGTGGAAACATGAAGAAATTACAAATATAAGAAAGTAGCACGGGACCGAAAATTTGTTTAATCATCATTGAATTATCCTATGATGAAAATATGGACTTTAAGGGGTCTCCAACTTACAATTTAAATGGCAAATAAAATTAATTCCCATCTTATCATTCTGCCCTCAATTATGAGGTGGATAAAACTATTTTTACTTATTTAAATCACGCGAAATGCTATGACATGCTATATTGTTCTGCTATATTTTGATTTGGCCTCTATTTGTCATCTTGGATTATAAGGGGTAGAAGAAAGTTTTCAATGTAGGTCGATGTTTCGGAGTAGTGCCCATATAAAGAAGGTACCTCCTAATTTAACCACATTTCAAAGAATTTGGCTAATAATGCGTATTAGGGGGGTGAAAATCTTACACTAAAATTTCAACATATCTACAAATTTTAGAATTTTTATCCATGTTATAATACCCTCTCAAGACCACCTTTTGGCGGACAAACAGACTGACATGGTTAGGGGGACTTATGAGGACTCTAATGCACAATCTAAGTTGCTAATGGGTTTAAAAAAGTAATTAACTTTGGCTATTCTTAAATCATTCAGCCCTCAATTATGTAGTATACAAAATACAGCAAATTCCAAATTACTGCTCATTTGACTGGAAGATTTTGCTACGATTTTTACCATATTAAAAATTAATTTGATCCCTTAGCGATAAGATTGATATATACTTTTTAATAGATTTGTATAGCACATCCACACAGTTGAAGCCCACAGTTTAAATATTGAAGCCCACTGGTTAAAAATGGGTACAGGTATTTTAAAACACTTTAAATCGACCTTACGTGAACACTTATATCAGTCATATCTGTGAATAATTATGCTTGGGAATATATGCATAATAGACAAAAACTACGGGCCGGCAACGCGGACCGGGCCAGCTAGTATATAATAAATAACATATTTTATTATACATTTTCATTCGGACATTTAATTCCTTTACAAAGACCCAATATTACTCACAGAATACAATAGTTTTGCTCGACGGCTGTGTTGATCAATTGCCGCCGTTAATTATGGGCTCGACTTGGATCTCTGCTTAAACTGTTTCGTAATTGTCGTACGTTCCGATCGTCAACGTTCATTTCGGGGTATTCGTTATCTTTTTGCACCTTGAGGGGGTGTGTTTTTATTTATTTTTCCATTGGCATTTATCCTAATCGATCGAAAGAAATCATGTTAAAATTAAGATGTGTTCTAAACACACAACTATGGCGTACAGCAGGATCCGTTCGCCTGTTGCATGTTGGAGAGGCAAATGTGTTGCCGACTGCTGTTGATAAGAACTCATCTGAATTCAAGGTGAGTTTTGTTTTGACGTGTAATTGCATAATTCGTGAATATTGACATTCGTTCACATTTCGCAAAAAAAAAATAGGAAAATGAAAAAGATATGTCAAAATTGGTCAATGAATTGCGTACAATTACCAGTGAAGTGTTGACAGGTGGTGGTGCAAAGGCTATTGAACGTCATACCTCACGAGGTAAGTTGGTTGCGGTGTTTGTTGTGGATAAGATAAGAATGCTGGCAAAATCAGGATCAATGTGCCTGTTGCGGATCTTATTTTTTAATTTCCTTTTGTATTCTTCCAGGCAAACTGCTGGCCCGCGAGCGCATTAACAAGTTGTTGGACAAAGGTTCCCCCTTCTTGGAGCTAGGTACCTTGGCTGGTTACCAGCTATACGGCTCGGAAGTGGTTAACTCGGGTGGTATTGTTACTGGCATTGGTCGTGTTTGTGGGTAAGTGGTTGGATTGCAATAAAAAATAAATTTGTTTTTAAATAATTCATCTTCTATAAATTCCAGCACGGAATGTGTAGTTGTTGCCAATGATGCCACAGTCAAGGGTGGCTCCTATTATCCCATCACCGTGAAAAAGCATTTACGTGCCCAAGAAATTGCACAGGAAAATCGTTTGCCATGCATCTATTTGGTAGATTCTGGCGGTGCTAATTTGCCACGTCAAGATGAAGTCTTTCCCGATAAGTTGCACTTTGGTCGTATTTTCTATAATCAGGCAAATATGTCCGCTATGGGCATACCCCAGATTGCTGTTGTCATGGGTAGTTGTACTGCTGGTGGTGCCTATGTTCCAGCCATGGCCGATGAAAGTATAATCGTCAAGAAGCAAGGTACAATATTTTTGGCTGGTCCACCTCTAGTTAAAGCAGCAACGGGTGAAGAGGTATCTGCCGAAGATTTGGGTGGTGCCGATTTGCACTGTAAGACATCCGGAGTAACAGATCATTATGCTGTTGACGATGAACATGCTCTGTATTTGGCACGCCAAGTGGTTAGCAATTTGAATTTGCCCGCCACAAATAACTATGACGAGCAATTGCTTTACTCCAGCAAGAAAGCCATAAAAGCCTCAAATAATTCCATTGAAACTGAAGTCGAGGAACCCAAATATGATCCCCGCGAGCTGTACGGCATTGTTGGACCAAATCTAACCAAGAGCTTTGATGTGCGTGAAGTTATTGCACGTATTGTTGATGGCAGTCGTTTTACCGAATTTAAAAAACTTTATGGCGAAACTTTGGTTTGTGGTTTTGCCAAACTCTATGGTCATACTGTGGGCATTGTTGGAAATAACGGTGTCTTGTTTTCGGAGAGTGCCTTAAAGGGTTCCCACTTCATCCAGTTGTGTGCCCAACGTAACATTCCTTTGGTGTTCCTACAAAATATCACAGGTTTTATGGTTGGTCGTGATGCCGAGGCAAATGGCATTGCCAAGAATGGTGCCAAAATGGTTACAGCCGTGGCATGTGCAAATGTACCAAAATTCACCGTCATCATTGGTGGTTCATATGGTGCTGGCAATTATGGTATGTCTTCTAAAAATATTAATTGAATTTCAAAGATTAAAATATTTCCAACATTTTTTGCCTTCAGGTATGTGTGGTCGTGCCTATTCTCCACGATTCCTCTACATGTGGCCCAATTCCCGTATCTCCGTCATGGGTGGTACTCAGGCTGCAAATGTAATGGCCCAAATTACTGCTGACCAAAGAAAACGTGAAGGAAAAGACTTTAGCGAGGACGAAGCCAATAAACTGAAAGCTCCCATAATGGAAAAATTCGAAAAGGAAGGTTCTCCCTATTACAGCACTGCCCGTTTGTGGGATGATGGTATTATTGACCCAGCAAACACACGTCAAGTTTTAGGCTTGAGCTTGAAAGCTGCCCTTAACAATCCTGGCAATGGCACTAAGTTCGGTGTATTCCGCATGTAGAGAAAAAGTAGCAGCATACAAACAAAATGGGGAAACAATGTGCATTTATTTTACGAGCAAAGCTAACAGATAGTATGATTTTACAAAAAAAAATTTTAGGTGATTATGATGAAACTGTTGCATTTATTAGAGTATAAGTAAAACGTGTAAAATTTTGATACATATACTGTTCCAATGTTGTATAGCAAATTTATAAAGATTTTTTTTTTTAAATACAATTTTTAAAGAAACTTATACAGTACGAAACCTACATTTTTCCATTTTTTATAGTAGATTCTAGTGAAAAGTGTAGCTAAAATCTTCAAAATATCGAATATCTGGAGGTACATTTATGTATACGCAACAGTGGACCTCTGAAACCAATTATCGGCAAAAGAAGGTGGTGCCTATTACGAACTCCAAATACCAAGTTTGAGGCAACTCTGTTGAAAAATTTAGGTAAAATAATCAAAATACAGAATATTGGGGGTCACCGTTATATGGATGCTATACGAAGGCGTCGTACTATGTCGCGAGTTCATACAAACGGCGGCCAAAAATAGAAAGAGTTGTCGTAGGTGGATGAAATTTTGTACAGATGCTTATTATTGGGCTAAAAAGCAAATTACAAAAATTTGGATAGATTGGACCAAAATTCGGTATACCTCCCATATATAGGGTCTTCCAAATTTCACTCTTTTAGCCTATAAAATCGTTAATATTCAACCAAATTTGATGAAAATTGGCATGTAACTTCTAATTGGGCCTATAAAACAGTTGACAAAAAATTGGATTGATCGGACCATGATTTGGTATACCTCCCATACAATGGGTCTTGAAAAATTCTCTCTTTTGGGATATAAAAACGAATGTATTAACCCAAATTCGACGAAAATCTGCAGTTTACTTCTAATTTGGGCTATAAAACAAGTGACAAAAAATTGAATTGATCGGACCATGATTTGGTATACCTCCCATACAATGGGGCTTGAAAATTTCGATTTGTTGGCCTATGAAATCGTATGTATTCAACCATATTAAATGAATATTTGCAGTTTACTTCTTATTTAGTGAAATATTAAAATTGTCTGTAGGTTTACGTTTCAGAGTATTTTATATTACAAAACCCTCTTTTCAATAAAACACGTTTTATTCGTATTTAATTTTTATTAATAACATAAGCTTTGAAATACACTATTCACTACATACCTCACTGCAATCATCAGATTCATCTTCTGAACATATTTCCGGAATATTTAAGTTATTTTCTTCACAAATATATGATTTAATGTCTTCCATGTTATAATTTCGGGCCAATATATTATGACTGTTCAAGGATATTACAGGGTCCGATTGTAGTATCAAATACTGAATTAAATCCCTATTTGACTCGACTCTACCACATTTTCGGGTACATTCATTGATGTTTCCGTCACTTCTATATTTTCTGGAATCAATTTTTTCTTAGCTTCTGCTATAGCATAATACGATGGGAAACAATTTTTATGTATAGCATTTACAGCATTTCTCATCATGTTATACTGTCTAACTGATAAATCCATATCCACGTAGAGCGCCAATGCTTTTTCCACTGAAATAATGTCCGTTTCCTTTACATTCGAAAATCTTTTTGCAGCTGTTGTTATGATGTCCGCCGAAGTAGATGCAACAAGTTCACCTACACGTCGCCTTTTTGTTCTACATGAACTTTCCTCAAAGTTAATGCGTGGTCGACCTCTTGATGTAGACTTATCAGGTTCCTAAATATTTAAAAGTTTTTAAATAATTGGTTTAATAAAAATAATCTTCAAATGTACCGAATCAAATTTAAACGTATCCATAAGAAACCAATCTTTTAAGACCATTTCTACTTTATCCCTCTTTCGATAGTATTTTTTCCACGTAGAAGACAATTTGTAGCAAATATTTTTAACCTTTATGTGTTCTTCGCCCGTCATTTTCCTTCCAATTCGATCCTCAATAAATTCTTTAAGTTTTGCCAGAACATATGACATACTTTGATCCTTTACTTCTAACCATTCCAAAAATATGTCACAGTTTTTTAAAGAGGTGGTCACTAAAAAAAGCAAATAACTCTTAGGACCGCAGGTTTCCGCAGCTAATTTTTTTATAGGTTAAAAATACATACTTTTCACAACTAAAATCAACAAAAATGTAGACTAAACTTTTTAACCTTTTTTTTTCTACTCCACTAATTTCAAGATTTGCTTTACAAAATAGATGAACTAAGTACAACAGGTGTTTGTAACTGTAAACACCATATGATCACTATTTACACCCAAACAAAGGTGAAGCCAAGTTTTTGACATCCCAAGTAACTAAAATAAACACTTTTTTTATAACCGTTACTTTTAATATTCAAATTTTTGAACATATGAAAAAAGTGTCAATTTTCCGAAAAAAATAGAAAAATGCCGATTGCCAAAAACTATCAGATTTGAACCCTCGTACAGGCAAAACTACTTGACGTATCACTACCAAAATTCATATTATTCCTAACTGGAATGTTTTCTATCAATTCTCATCAATAAATTTGTGCTCTTATGTACTTGGTTTTTACCATTTTTGGCCGCGGTCGTGACACTGTGCGTCGCTTTGTACAGCAGGTAGTACCCATCAGGAACTACCAATACCAAATTTTAAACAATTTTCGTCAGAAACTATGATACAAATCATCGAAATTCCGAATATCTGGTGGTACAATTATATGGAGTCTACAGCAAAATTTGGACCTATATGTACAGTTCTCTGCGAGAAAGTTTGCTACATACTATATATGGTAATTAAAACAACAAAAAACCTTAAATCTGTCGGTACAGTTATATGGGTCTTTACCTAAGCATGGACCTATATAGTCAGTTTTCAATATTTATTTCGCTGGGATGCTAGAGTGATTTCCACAGACAGACATGCTAAATCTACATAGAATTTTATGCTGAACAAGAATATATAGACTTTGTGGGGTCTAAAATGTACATTTCTGGATGTTACGAACGGAATGACAAATTTAACATACCCTCCAAAAAAGTTTTTTCTTTATATCGATTATGCGATGTCCCTCCTTGTATAAAATTTAGGGTGTGGGTACATAAGCAGCTTGAAGTCTTGGCATGGTATATTTTGTGAGATATCACAAAGGAATGTCAGAGCCGCACTCGAATCCTGCCGTCGTTTCCCCTTTTAATTTGAAATTAATATGCCTAGCCATGATGCCAGGCTGCTTATGTACCTTTATGCATGTCAAACTATCGGCGAATTCATGATAAAATTATACAGGTAGCCGCATGACAACAGCTGCTGGTACAATGAGCTGTCAAAACATATTTGGAATTCTAAATTTTGAATGAAAAATTGTTTAAATTAGTGAAATTTGTTGCAGATCACATATCATACCAACCTCTGAAGGGTATCGTATAAAAAATCTCTTAAAATGGATTTATTTTTGGAAATATGTTTAAATATTTTTGACATATCAATGTTTGCCAGGTTTGATACATATAACTGTATTCTTCTACCATGGGTGAATTTAAAAGCAAACGTATGCTCCGTTCTAGTATCTGCAAGAATCTCTTAGTATTGCAAATTTTTTCAATATCATGAAGGCAAAATCGGTTATTTTAGTAAAAACTTTTACATTCTTTTAGTTCTGTAACAGAAAAGTACATGATCTAAGAACAAAGAATATTGTAAAAGCTGATTATGCGCCGCACTCCGTCTTTATTTCCTGGTATTATATAATTAAAAGGAGCTATTGCTTAATATGTTAGTACTTTTCTTACAATTATAGTACGCACTTCCAAAATCACCTTTACATTTTTAACCACAGAGTGGGTTGCTAGTGTGTACCATACTTAAGAAAACAAATCGATTAGCATAATCGTCTTCTTCTTAATGTATGTTCATATTCGTGGATTTTATTAAAGTAAACTACATATTAAGCGTATTTAAGATATTATTACAAAACAAAATAACTTAAAAAACTGTCAAATTTATGTCTGGATAAAAATTTAAACTAAAATATTAGCCGGTATGGCAGCTGTCGATCAAAGGAACTACGACAGCAACACATCGATTGTTCGATTGATTTTCTAGCAACTTCGATTAGTCTTAATTCGACGTAGATATCCCTTTTCGGAAGCGAACACCGAACACGAACACAGAACGACAACGGCAACAGAAAAGACTACTATAAAAGAATAAAGCGATTAATCAAAATCTTTGAAAAGAAAACTTGAATTATATTGATGAAATTGTGCAAATATTGTGTTTTATAAAGAGCAAACAAAACGAGAACCATACAAAAAGATCGGCAAACGCGCTATATAGTGAGCCGCTGTACAGAAAAAAAAAAGAATTCAAACGATTTGATTTTTTGTACAGGGCAGCCCAGTCGATTGATTTAAAAGATTGTGGTGTGAAAAGGTGAGTGAGAGTTGAACTCCCTGGTTCTTGACTTGAGTGTGAAAGAGAACGAAGAAATTTGAAGTGTAACTTATATGGTGAAAAAGGAGAAATGAAAAAAGATAAAATTGGCAAAAAGCAAAGATGATGATTAATTATTGGAAAATGTTGAGGTTGCTTACAACCAGTAAAATAATACTTAACACTTCAAAGAATGCGTTGATGTGGTAAAATGTTGTTTTATAAAATTAAACGGAAAAATGCCGGTATTTGAAAATGTAGTTGCAAAAATTCCTCAACTATTGTGCATGGATGGCTTTGCATATGGTTTCATATTTTTTTTATTCTAATTCCTGTACTTGTGTGTGCAGTAAAATCGGTGCGAGTGTGTTGGTTTTACTTGTGAGAGAGTGAGAAAGAGGTGGATGTTTTTTTATATTATTCACATTATTTTCCTCTTTATAAAACTCTGACGCATACAATTTTACATTATCGAGGGGATGTTTGCAGCCGTTGCATATGTATTTGATAAAGAAGTAGATAATCCTCCCAAAATGTCTTGAGCAAAACGACGACGCTAGCTGTGTGCCACAGACCAGGCTAAGTATTTCCAATCCATTTGGTTTTAATATTTTTTTTGCTACTGTTGGAATAATGGGCAGAGAAGATAATCGTCATCATCATTATAATATTTTTTGTTCATTCTTTTGGATTTAGACCACCATTCTCTAGTGGCCAGGCAGAGAAAATAGCTTTCGAATGTGTGTAATGAATGGGATGGTCTTGGAGAGTTTTATGTTTATTGGTTTTATTTGTGTCTTTTGTTTTTATGCCGAAGTTCTCTTAGGGGGGTTTATTTTATCCATTTAGCTTTCTAAGATGACCTGCTTTTCTATTCAGCAGAGAATGATACAACTATTTAAAAGTCGAAAAGATGTGTCATCTTTTTGTAAATTGTGACTAAACCTACCACCATTCTATTTTGTTTGTTCTGTTCAACTGAGCGGCTATGTCCCACATTCCTTTCCCCTCGTTGGTCATTTTTAAGTTCACGTTAATACGAGGTATATGCCCGACCCCCCACACATACATATACTTGTAAATGTCCTTTTTCTGACATTTGTCGTCTTCGAAAGAAAACCCAAAGAATATTTGGTTATCTAGGAAATGTGTACGTGTCTGTTTTTTTTTTCTTCTCTTCTTTTACAGTAACTGGATATAATATCGCCCAAGTATCAACAAGAAGAGTGTGTACGCGTTTACGTCATCCATTTGTACTCGATATATAATAATTTTGCTTGTTTAAAACTATTTCAATACTCGCCACATATAAATATGACAAAAACAAGCAAGACCTCGTTGGCGACCACCACCTCCGCTTTATTCGATATTATGCGATACAATTATATGCGGTTTTTTCCTCTGCTGTGCTGTGCTGCCGCTGCTGGTGTTATTGTTATCGTTGTATGTGAGTGTTTCTTTTAACCCACCTTGTTTGATTGGGTTTCAAGTTGTTTTCGTTGTGGCGATTCTCATAACTGGCATATGCCGGTTTTTTTTGGGCAAGTTCACAAAATAAACCGCAAACATAACTATTTTGTTGTTGTTGTTCTTGTTGTCTATCTTTACCTTTACCATCAGTGTTTTCCGATTTATACTATTTGTATAACTTCATCTTCATTTGACTACTTTTTACCTATTGTAGGTGTCTATGTAGTCAACATTATGTTGTACTTGCCTATTAGCAGTTTTGAAGAGATCTGTGAGGGTCAGTTGACGAAACAACATACACCAGTAAATGAAACCTTAGGCACTGCCTGTGGGCTAGCGTAGCTATCTTTTGATTTAAAGAAAATAGCCAACTCTCTGAACCGATTATCTAGTGTTGGTCATACAAGCGAGGAGAAACACTCGAGTCCCAACTGAAGGCTGTCCGTAGGCCGACAAAAACTAATTCAACTTATTTGAAGCCGCAATATGTGACGAAAGGTGCAGCAGTAGAGATTGCCGTTCAGGAGACATCAGTGCAGTTCCATACTTCGACAAAGATACGGACACGCTGTGGACTACGACAGGGTTAATCCGAAATAATTCTTAATATGTACCGCACCGAGACAGATCTATGGTGAATGATGTTTTGATAAATTGTGCAGAACCATGGTCCAGTATTTTCTTCAATACCGGCACAGACTAAAAGAATCTGTAGCAGAAAAATAAACCAATCCGTAGAACCCAAACTTTGGTAGAGCCCTTTATGCATGCATGAAGCCTTAAGCATGCCCAAGGGGTCCTCAACGCTTACCACATCGAAAATTATTGCCCCTAAATAGAGCTTTGAAATTTGGCACAATATTTTGCATTATCTTATTATGACAGAATTTCTCCCCTTAGGCTGGGATAGTTTGTTGGGGTCCAGCGTTAAATTTGTAGGATTTGTGTGAGATAAGAAGACCAGTCTGATTCGTTATTCAATTAATCGGGGTTTTTCAATGACTAAGGGATTGTATATGTTCAAAGTTCTCCTATTTATTATGCCTCCATGAAAAATAAATTGATCCACTGAGTCTAGGGTTCCGTTGTACACAGGTTTTTGATGGGCTCACTGGGATTCGTCTAGATACGATACTTGCATAAGTACTAGCGGCCTCATACCCTTGCTTCCTTATTGTTGGAGAATAACGGGGTATACCCATTTTTCGCCCTAACTCTCTGGGATAGTATCTCAATCCACAGAACGAACCTCAGTTACCTGAACGGCAATCTACACATTAGGGTAAATTTTATTCTATTGTTCTGTTTCATTTTTATCCTTGAAGTACCTGTAGCATATTTTCACTGTATAGACGTCATGGCTCTTATGTTGCAGTGACCTTTATTTATGCCCAGGTTTAGGTTTGATTTCGTAAGGGCGAGCACGCAACTTAAAAGTTGGTGGCTTCAAAACCGTCAGTTGCAGCAAACCTTACTCTAGTAATGAACTTGAATCAGCCGAACGAAATGACTTATAGACAGAAAATGGCTCCAATCGACATACAACGAAGTTATGATGGGAACCTATGGATGGGGTTTGAGTGCTTAAAAAATGCAACTTAATTGATGTAAGTACAGTATGGTGTACCCTAAAGCTTGTGACTTCATAGAATCGCCCAAGTGTGAAGACAAGCAGTGACCCTTGAACGAATAACTTGCTGTAGCATTTTTTCCACACCCATCCGAGTTGTTCAACGAAAATAACACCAATAGAGACTCCGCTTTGACTGCAAAAAATGAGGTGGTCTGTATTTTTGTGTGAAAAAGGTTAGCTCTGGTTTGGAGTGGGTTACAACATGGACAATCGTAGTGAGTCCACCTTTATAGTCGAACAAGGCTTTTGGCATCAATTCCGAATATGTTTCTGCGGATTTTCCAGTCATCATGAACAGATCCACGTCATCAGCCATATTACGGTTAGTTTCCATGAAAAATTGATCTTTGCTCCGGAATGGCGCATGTTACATTCGGCTAGAAATTGTCAATTTGGTGAAAAAGACAAAGTAATAATGACAACATTCTCCACCCTGTGGCAAGCACCCGGTGTGTTACCTCCGAATCGATCGCTACTCGATACGAGAGGTGATGATCCTAATGCTAAGAATTATTTTTAAGTCACTCTATTACCACGCCAGGGGGAATCAAGCTTTACGTTTTTTGGACAACTCTATACTAAGAAAGCTTTGAAGTTGAATTTGGTTGACTTTGGTTTAGGAAGTGAAAATCCCGATAGACGGGAATGTTGTTGTTGTTAGAGAAGCTCATACTACTGTGCTCGTTGTGATTCTTCTCTAACCTGGCTCTGCTTCTGAATCCAAATTCAAAAAAGGAAGCGATCTGTATGTTTCTTTCCATTGTGGCGCAGGAGTTAGGTAAGGAGATTTGGTTGGACAGCGTGTAGCGTGTCATGTGGACCTGTACCATATCGTCGGCACTTCTCACAACTCGAGCCCAATCTGCATTTAGGTGGCTGCACCATATGGATCTCTCGTTCTTCAGCTCGGATTGCGCTATTCACTCTGTACTCGGAGCTCATCCCCCTCTTGGAAATGTTGACTATTTTGGTAAAGGAAACGAGTAAAAAAGCTGAAAATTCGTGAATACCCTCCACCATTTGGAACGAATTTGCAAATTTTCAAAAAATAAAATAAATAAAATAAAATCCGTTAAAAATTCTGCTAAAATCTTAAAAATACCGAATATAGCCGTTATATTAGGGTCTATACGACGACGTGGACCTGCATCATCAAAATACAGAATATAGGGAGGTACTATACCAAAACGTGGAGCTGCACAGATAATTTTCTGTCATTGGCGACATTATCCATAACGAACTTCAAATACCAAACTTGAAGCAATTCCGGTGAATAAAGTCGCTAAAATCATCAAAATACCAAATATCGGGAGGTACCGTTTTATGGGGGCTATACGATGACGTGTCTGTCCGTCATATGCTGTAGTGTCCATTACGAACATCAAATACCAAATTTGAAACAATTCCGGTAAATAATGTCGCTAAAATCATCAAAATACCGAATATCGGGAGGTATCGTTAAATGGGCGCTATACGAAGACGTGAACCTGCACAGACAATTTTCCGTCTTAGGTTGTAGTATCCATTACCAACTTCAAACACCAAGTTGAAACAATTCCGGATGTCGCTAAAATCATTAAAATGTCGAATATGGTACCGTTATATGGGGGCTATAAGAAGACATGGACCTGCACATACAATATTCTGTCATAAGCTGTAGTATCTATTACGAACATCAAATACCAAATTTGAAACAATTCCGGTGAATAATGTGGCTAAAATCATCAAAATACCGAATATCGGAAGGTACCGTTATATGGGGGCTATACCAAAACGTTGACCTACATGGCCCCTAAGTCCTGCAGACATTATATACATTTGAGTAAAATGTTATCAGCCTACTTCATTTCGTTCGGAAGATAGAGTGATTTCCACAGACGGACGAACATCGCTAAAT